TTTTTATCCATCGTCGTCCAGTGATCAGTTCCGTCTAATCTGACATCCCTCGGAGGCGCTACACTTGAATTTGGCTTGCATCGCTTTTCCTTGATATGCGTTTCCAAAGTTGGCCGTCCACGATTAGGAGTTTCTTTGAATTTATATGAAAATAGTGCATCAGCTATTTCCAACTTAAAATCGATTAATCTAATATTTTTAAAATCTGGCCGATCTCTATTAATTCTTTTATAAAGTATCCAGGCATTAACGCATGTCATATCCAAAAGGTGGTAGAACACCCGAGTAGTCCACTTTCGACTTTTCATTGTGATCTTATGGCGACCCATCATGCTATCCATAAGGTCAACTCCACCCATATGACTATTATAATCTTTAATAATCTGCGGGCAGGGAATCATTTTGATGGTTTTATCTTTTTTGTCAAACCTCTTCACTGTCAAAGTCTCTGATGCGGTTTGTATTGAATGCACCAACGGTTTCATTCCAACATAGGTAGACACCAAATTTACAACTCGGTTATCTTTCCAGCTAAGAGATGTCACATCGATGCCACATATATTCGAGACATATTCTTGACTGGTACCACGTTCAAATTTTAGCATGGTCTTTTCTTCAGGGAGCTTACAATTTTTAATTCTGTTACGCCTAATTGTTCCGACGGAAAGGATACCCTGGGTTCGTAAATATACTAGCAAGGGGATCGTTGTGTAGTAATTGTCAAAAAAGTATATAATTTTTGAAACGAGGGACTTCGCGAACTAACCTCACTACTATATTTGCGGATGGCTGAAGATCAGGTTCTGCTTGAATAGGTTTCTCCGCTAATCCGCTGTATAATTCAAATTTGTAAGCATATCCAGAAGTATCGCATAAAACATAAAACTTAAACCCCCACTTCTTTGGTTTATTTGGCAAGTATTGTTTCATGTAGCTCCCAATTTTTGTGGAACACATTTGTTCATCTACACATAATCTCTCCAATTTAGGAACACTTCCGAAAGTCTTATTGAGGGTATCTACGACGGGTCTAATAAGATAGAGCCTATCGCGACCCGGATCGTCGAAAGGAGGCTGCTCATCTTTATCATTGAAATGGATCACCTCCCGTATTTTTTCAAATCGTCTCCTATTCATTTGATTTTTTATGACAGATACAGATCGACTGCTTGTTTCAGACTAATAATCGCGAGAATTTGAAAGATTGTAATACGTCATATAAAAAAGTATTCCAATGAATTTGCGTAAATCAAATATATCAAAAGAGAAGGTCTCATTCACTCCAACATATTTTAAAGTTTCTTCAACTATATGTTCTTCCAACGATTGTGGGAATAAATAGCACCATATCTGGTATGGCGTTACCAAAGATGCTATATCATTCGGAAGACTACTATCTCCCTGAAATAGTACCTGCTCATGGTGAAGTTGTAAATTGCCTTTCTTCCATATAATTCTTTCAAAATCAGAGGATTTGGGGTTAACGCAAATTCCCTGAAATTCTGATGGGAATAAATCCCGAGGATTTTTAGTTTTATGTACACTACTAGAAGTAGACGGATTATAATCAATATCTGAATGCAAATTTTCTGGATCATTATCATCTGATATCATATCCAGACATGAATCGTGAATGGATGCGTCTAGGTCAATGTCATTGTCCGCCTCATTCACTGTTGTGTTCATCAAGAACTAACTGCATTTCTACATCTTTTTTATTACCCTTAATTTTATTTGGAATAGTCTCAAAGATATCGTGACTAAAATTGATATATGGGCCCCTATTATGAGTTGCATTCGATCTTCGCTGGCTATCGAAGATCGAAAGTGAAATTCGTATTATGAGCTATGCAAGCGTGTCAAAATTTTCGATGAATATCGAGTTTTTTGTCGAACAGAGGCCCTTATTATGTTGTTGTTGTTGTAGCAGCATACAAGTTCCCCATAGAGTTTTGGGGAGTGTTGCTGGAGTGACAGTCCTTGGCCAGATATAAATCTGGGTCGTTCCGGTTACGTAGACCCGACTGTCGTGGGAACGCCCTTACTATGAGTTGCATTCGATCTTCGCTGGTTATCGACACTAATTTAAACAATTTTTATCAATTTCATGCAGTTTCAACGTCGTGAATACAAAACACCACGAACCAACTAACAAGAACACCCAGCACGGCAATCGTGTATATGTAATTGCATTTGAGAAAAAAAATTATCAGCCCTATTCTGCATTTCGACTCGAATCGAAATTTTCTCCGTTTGGCAACTTTGGTATTCTGCGTTCCGTTTCCTTTCGATCAATCTTCGAAA